TCCCAGTGGCGACAGCAATGGCAGCCTTGGTTACTCACGCTCTCTTGTGTTTGTTGTTTTTCTTTGTTTTCTCTGTGTTTTGCAACTCATCCCGGATTAGTTTTACCAGAGAAGAACTGTTCAATACCGGGCAGCTCACACCGAACTACCTTTCTCTGATTTTTGTGAATGAAGAATGCTGTATGGACATTCTGAGGCGCAGCAGCAATATATGGGACCTGGAAAAAATGCCGCCATGGAAAGCATGCGGGTGCCTTAGTGAGACTACACCAGAAAGGAACATGAACTCCACTCCCGTCTATCCACCTGGAAAATCTCCGCTCCCTGGTCAACAAGATAACAAGATGGATGAAATTCTTCTCGTTAACAGGACTAACTCTGACTTTGCACGCTCTGCTGCTTTGTGCTTCACGGAGACCTGGCTAAGTGACTGGATTGCAGACAGTGTGATACAAGTACCGGGTTTCCAGGTGTACAGAGCAGATCGCGTTACGGAGCTGTCTAGGAAAACGAGCGGAGGTGGAATCTACTTCTACATAAATGAAGGTTGGTGCACAGATGTCACAGTACAGAGGACATGTAACACAGATCTAGAGACTCTTGTTATCAATTGCAAACCTTTTTATTGTCCTCGTGAATTTAACAGTTTCATTCTAATGGGAGTGTACATAAGACCACAGGCCAACGGTAGCGCACTACGGCTCCTGGCAGAACAGATAACTAGCCTGGAGCTAGAAATTCCCGACTCTCCACTCGTTCTAGGGGACTTTAACAGGGCAAATCTCACCCACGAACTGCCCAAATACAGGCAGCACGTCACCTGTCCCACCAGGGACAAAGTCACACTGGACCACTGTTATACAACAATGAAAGACACCTATCACTCTGTCCCCTACGCAGCCCTCAGACTCTCAGATCACTGTATGGTCCATCTTTTTCCAACCTACAGGCAGAAACTTAAAGCTGTGAAACCTGTAGTCAAAACAGTGAAGAGCTGGACTGAAGAGGCTAAGTCAGAGCTACAGGCCTGCTTTGACTGCACAGACTGGAGTGTATTTGAGACTGCAGCTACAGACCTGGATGAACTCACTGACACTGTGACATCTTATATCAGCTTCCTTGAGGATGTGTGTGCCCAAAAAGATCTTCTGCACATACAACAACAACAAGCCCTGGTTTACAGCCAGACTCAAGCAGCTTCATCATGCCAAAGAGGAGGCATACAAAAGTAGGGACATAACTCTGTACAGCCAGGCCAGGAACACAGGGAGATCAGAGCAGCAAAGAGGAGCTACTTTGAAAAGCTAAGAGCTCAGATTTCAGCCAACAACCTTTCTCTGTTTGGAGGAGCCTGAAAAGCATCACTGGCTATAGGAACCCCCCAACTGTGGAGGATCGTCAACTAGCAGACGACCTGAATGTGTTCTACTGCAGATTTGATAAACAACACTTATCTTCAAGAGGTCACTGGAGCTGTGTGAAGCCCCCTCCTGCTTCAGATGCTCCACCATCATTCCAGTCACCAAGAAAACCTCCATCAGTGGGCTGAACGACTACAGACCTGTCGTCCTGACATCTGTAGTTATGAAGTCCTTTGAAAGATTGGTGTTGGCCCACCTGAAGGACATCGTAGACCCCTGCAGTTCACCTACTGGACAAACAGGTCAGTGGATGATGCAGTGAACATAGCACTGCATTACATCCTGCAACACCTTGACTCCCCAGGGACCTGTGCAGGGCCCTCTTTGTGGACTTCAGCTTGGCATTCAACACCATCATCCCGGACATTCTCCACTCCAAACTGACTCAGCTCACTGTGCCTGCCCCCACCTGTCAGTGGATTACTAGCTTTCCGACACACAGGAAAAACCACATCCAGCACCCGGACAATAAGCACAGGCGCCCCCAGGGATGTGTGCTCTCCCCTCTGCTGTTTTCACTCTACACCAACAACTGCATCTCAAAGGACCCCTCTCCTAAAGTTTGCAGATGACACAACGGTCATTGGTCTCATCCGAGATGATGACGAGTCAGCCTACACACAGGAGGTTGAGCAGCTGGTCCTGTGGTGTAGCCGCAACAACCTGGAGCTGAACATGCTCAAAACAGTGGAGATGACAGTGGACTTTAGGAAGAACCCCCCCAGACCCCCCCCACCCCCACCTTATCCCCCCTCACCATACTTGGCAGCACTGTATCAGCAGTAAAGTCCTACAAGTTCCTGGGCTCCACTATCTGCCAGGACCTGAAGTGGTCGACCATCATCGAGAAGGCACAGCAGATGATGTACTTCCTGCGCCAGCTCAGGAAGTTCGACCTGCCTCAGGAGCTGCTGATAGAGTTCTACAGAGGAATCATTGAGTCTGTTCTCTGGCATGCATTGTGCACCCGGATGTCATGCTCCTCCCTTGTGCTCCTGTTGGTTGAGGCCATGCAGCCTCTACTGGTTGAGGCCATCGAGACCGTGACACATCTGCCAGGTGAGGCCGTCGTGACGCCTCTGACAGTCGAGGCAGTCGACCGACTGGCATGCATTGTGCACCCAGATGTCATGCTCCTCCCTCGTGCTCCTGTTGATCGAGGCCATGCAGCCTCTACTGGTTGAGGCCATCGAGACCGTGACACATCTGCCGGGCGAGGCCGTCATGACGCCTCTGTTGGTCGAGGCAGTCGAGGCCACTGTGACGCCTCTGCCGGTCGAGACAGTCGAGGTCACTGTGCGCCTCTCTGTGTGCGTACGTGACGCACTGTTAGGCACACCCACACACACACAGATAAAAGCTGTGAGTTAGTTCAGCAGCAGTCAGAAGGAAGAGTCAGCTCTTACAGTTACCACAGAGGACTCAGCTGCACCTGTCGACGCACACCGTCGCTCTGAAAACCAAGAGAACCATCCCAGGCTCGTACCGAC